TTGCCCCCTCAAATATGGGCCTGGGCMTGCATRGTCATATCTTCTRAATGTCTGAAARTGCCATTTATAGTATATTTAAAAATCTTAAAAATTGTTATTACCAATTTTTACACTTATTATTTTACTTCTTGTTAAATATGTATATTGTATGCATTTATGAACTAATATACAATATAAATCAAAATACAATTTGGTATGATATATTGGTATCAAAAATCGGCATTTTTAACCACATCCAGACTGCTAAACTTTGTGCAATAAAAATAAACACATATTATATAATTCCGGGCTAATAATTCTAGAACTGGAAATATGACTTATGGTTATATGTATTATTATTTTTTCTATATTCATTAGGAATTACTCTATTGTGAAACATGTGATCAAGTATTCTGCTCAGTTTGTACTAAACACGAGACAGCAATTGGCGGAGGCAATCTTATTTCATCTAAATCTTCACCATTGGTTCATACAATCATACCAGTATCTGTAGCTATGAAACGTACATCTGAAATAATGTTGTATAAAGCTAATGAATGTGTTTCAAAAGTATGTGTCGCTGATATTTATGTGTTATACAAATGTTGGTGGCATACATATTAATTTAAATGAATTGTAATTCATTTAAACTATAGTTGAACTATTCGAGGGATGGAGTATGTGCTGAAATAGAACGTTTAGCTATAGCTCGTAATGAATGTTTATCTACTTTGGATGATACATTTAGTGATTTGATGAACATAATAGAAGCCCGTAAGCAACAATTGCAACACCAAATACATAAGGCATGTGATGCAAAAAATAGTATTTTGAGTCAACAACTCTCAGCTATTGATATTGAAAAAACCAAAGTATGTATAAAAGTATAGAGTCAGTATAATTATAAGTTACTACTTATTTTTTGCTGTGTTGTCAATCATTAATCATTATATTATGTTTATTTCATTATTTAATTTATGTCTAGGTTATGGATGAATGTGGCAATGTCAATCAATTATTAGATATACAATCTATTAATCAACGAATAAAAATTTTAAATGATCGTTTGCAAAAACCTACAGGCGGTATTGAAGAACCTCGTGAAAATGCTTTTATTGCTCTGGATTTGGATCTATCAGAAATAAAACATGTTGTAAATAATGCCATAGGACAAATAGGTCAAGTACGCACTACAACTACTTGTCCTGGTAATTGTACACTGAATRTTGCTGAATCAAAAGGTAATGTTGCATAATATAAGATATCAATTCAWTAACAATTGTGTGTAAGTATAAAAATATCTTTGTATTTTTAGGAGAAAATTTGTTGATACCTCGTTTGGTAGATACACTGGTTGCTACTTTAACAGCTGTTGACTATGATGGGAATCGACGAAATTTAGGTGGTGATCCAGTTGGTATAAAATTAATTGGACCTTTAGATGACACACAACAAGAAATGATAGATCCAAACAATTCAGAACTTCAACACCTAGATATTAATAATAGTGCTGATAAAGTGCGTATTATTGATCATAAAAATGGACAATACACAATCCGTTTATGTTTATCTATTTGTGGCAGGTATATAAATTGAGAATTAGTTAAAAAAAGATTAATTAATTTGACTTCTCCTGTTTGTATGTATTTCAGGTATAAAATTCTTGTTTATGTGCTAGGTAGACCTGTAGCATGTAGTCGTAATACAGGACATATTGAATTTTCTATTATAAAAARCATTGACCCTATATGCCAATATAATAAAGGTCCTTCAATGCAACAGCCTGTTGCAATTGCTGTAGATCATCATTCCGATAGGGTAAGATKCCAAAAAATGATTTATAAAACTATATAAAAGTAATATATATCTAATTAAAATATTGTATTATTATCATTTCTAGGTGTATGTTTTAGATACTGGAAATTGTCGCATAAGAGTGCTTGATACTCACTTAAATTATATATCTGATATACAAAATATTGAAGCTATGCGTGGTCGTTCTTCAACTGGTATTGGTTTATTGAGTGATGATACATTAGTTACTGTAAATTGGCGTACAAACACAGTGACACAGTAATAATCCGAAATATATCTATTTACTTATAGCTACAAAAACTATTATTTTATTTTTTTAGAATGACTTTAGATGGTGAAACAGTGAAGTCTTGGACTCATTCTAGTATGATAGAGCCTATGTGTATTGCTGTGGATAAAATGTATGATCATATATTAATAGGGGATTCTTCATGTAATATATATGCATTCAAGGCGACAACAGGACAACATTTATTTACGGTAAGGATATAACAATTATTAATTGTTATAACAAATTTTGTTTTTAACATTAGAAATTTATTACTTAATAACCTAATAAGTAATAACCAACATGTATTTAAATATATTTTTCGTTCATGTATTTGTTTTAATATGTTGTTTTTTAAATTCTTAATTTCTCCAAATGTATCATAACAATGAATGCCTATAATATTTGATTTTTAACTTTTAATTTTGTATTTTAATATTCAAGTACAGAATATATTTTAAGACATTTTTATATGTAACCTAACAGTTATAATATTTATTATATTGATAATTTAATATTTTAATTTTTAT